GGGCCACACTTATGCTTCATATCATCTTCATTCCAGGATCAGGTTGACAAAGTGCCCCAATCTGGAATATGGTAGTGTCTTGTGGCAAAAGGAAAGCAAGACAGTGTTTTTTTAAAGCTAGCTCTTAATTAAATCTCCTTGGATGTCACATATGTCATTCTGTTTGTTGCTTCCACACGACTCCTGAAACAGAATGCTACGGGCACCAGTGACAGTCACAACAAAGTTTATTGCAATAAGAGGCAAGGCCAACCGATCGGGACAGACACTCTTGACCAGAGTGCGGTCTCGAACAGCCAGGGTACAGAGTTTTTATAGCTGACCACATCGTCTTATCATCACCTGGGAACAGAACAAAGAAATAGTTCCCAGATGGGGGTGGAAACAGTTCAGACATGCCCTTGCCCCAATCCAAACACTAATCCAGTTGATTTCCCTTGAACTTTTGTTCCCTTGATTGATAGGACAAGGCTATTATCTCTTAATCTACAGTGTTAAAACAAAGCTGTTATTTCTTAAGGCTACAGGTTAGCCCTACAATACAATTTAACCCTTACACTGTTCACATTCCATTAGCCAAAGCAAGTCACATACCACTCTTGTGTTCAGGAAGAGGAGGTGAATAATTATGAACAATTACACAATCTACCACAGATGCCATTGGGTTTGGCAATTGGGAAAGCCAGATCGGTGACCTTTGAAAAGAGTTTAATTGGAGAATTGGGTTCTAATAAGTAATAATAATAATAATAATAGCTATAATTTACTGATTACTTGCTATAGTTCACATACTGTGGCAAGGGCTTTATATTTATTATCTCATTTTAACTCTCCTTATGGGCTCCTCCTCAATTTGTATGTTGAAACCTAACCCCCAATGGGCTGGTATTAGGAGGTGGGGCCTTTGGGAGATAATTAGGTTGAGAGGGTGGAGCGCTCATGATAGGATTAGTGCTTTATAACAAGAGACAGGAGAGAGCTTGTTTGTGTCCTTCCTTTCTTTCTCTCTCTCACACACCCACCCTCCACCCCCAACCTTGTGAGGACACAGCAAAAAGGCAGCCATCAGCAAACCAGGAAGCAGGTTCTCACCAGATACCACACCTGCTGGTACCTTGAGCTTGCGCTTTCCTCCAGAACTTGGAGAAATAAATGTTTGTTGTTTAAGCCAGTCACCCAGTCTGTGGTAATTTGTTATAGCCACCCAGACTGACTAAGACAATCCTTCCATCACAAATGAGGATTAGAGAGATCAAGTGCTGGCTCAAGGTCATAGGACTAGTAAATGATGGAGCAGAGATTCAGGCCAGTTCTATCTGGCTCCAAGGCCAGTATTTTAACCCCTGCAGAGTAAAAGTTACTAGATGGAGGCAATAGCATATGTTTTCTTTTTGGAGAAATTTTGTGAGCATGAGGAATGTAGGGTAGCAGAATATGCTCCACAAAATATGCCCCTTAGGCATAAAGATTATTTTGAACTTAAGATAATTGAGAAGCAGATATTAGAAAGCTTTATACCCTCCCTTCTATTAGCCTAAAAGTAGAAAATAAATTATAAAGGTGTTCTCCAAAAAAAAAAAAAAAA